CTAGCATCAGTCTCAGAATTTTATTTTATACTTTGATTTGTCAGAGTGCTTACCTAATCTGCACTAGGCCCAACATTTTATTTCCAGCATTGCATAAATGAAGCATGGTACTGTGTGCCTGTAATCCCAGCACTCAAGGGGTGGAGACAGGAGGACCAGAAGTTCAAGGGTTTCCTTCAACACATAGGAAGTTTAAGGCTCAAAAAAAAAAAAGTTTAGAGCTGGCTATGTTGATGCATGCCTGCACTTTCAGAAAGCTGAAATGGGATTGCAAGCTTAAGGCAGGCTTAAGCACCATAATGAAGGCCTGTCTCAAGCAACAAAAATACCAAATTTGTAGATTTGTTTTCTCTTCTATGTCACCAGTAGTGTTAAGTTTATCGAAACACAACTTAGCTTCCTGAAGCCTGTATCTCCAGCTTCTGCCTCTAGTTTTCCTTTTCTTCCTATAAAGGTTGTGTGTGCGTGCGTGTGTGCATGCGTGTGTGTGTGCGTGCGTGTGTGCGTGCATGCGTGTGTGTGTGTGTGTGTGTGTGTATGTGTTGGGAAGAAACCTGTACTATGGTGTGCATGTGGAGTTCAAAGGATAAGTTAATGGAGCTGGTTCTCTATTTCCAAGCACGTGGGTTCCAGGGATTGAAGCCAATCATCAGGCTTGGCAGCAAGTATCTTTGCCCCCTGATCCATCTCACTGGCCCCTTTCTATAAGGTTTTGATGGAGGACTAAGGGGCCAGACTGGAAAAAAAAGCCCACAAATTTTTAATTTTGCATCAGAAGAGAAGATGTATTTTATCCCTTACCTCTTGAAGTGTGGCCTGGAAATCAGAGGAGGGGCTTTGGAACGGCTCAGCAGCCTTCTCTTGCTGATTCTTGACTTACCCAGAAATCTCATCTGATGGGAATATCTCCATATGACCAACAATTTCCAGACATCCTCCAGGGTTTCTATAAATCTTTGAAGGTTGTTGTGAGTTGATTGCATCTCCAAAGACAATTAAGGGAATAGTCCAATTAGGAGGGCGATTTCATGCCGTTTCATCTTGTGTACTGAGCTACTGGAGGCAAATGCTCAGACGAAAGTCATGTACTTTCTTTTTCTTTTTTTTCTTTTTTCTTTTCTTTTCTTTTCTTTTCTTTGTTTTTTGAGACAGGGTTTCTTTGTGGTTTTGGAGCCTGTCCTGGAACTAGCTCTTGTAGACCAGGCTAATCTTGAACTCACAGAAATCAGCCTGCCTCTGCCTCCCAAGTGCTGGGATTAAAGGCATGCGCCACCACCGCCCGGCAGTCATGTACTTTAAAACGAGTAGTTACTTGAGTCTGCTCTTGGATTCTCTTTTTAGTGAAGATATTTTGGTGTTACTATTACCACAAGAGAAAAATTTTGGAGTGGGAAGAGGGTATGTGTGGATATGATGACAGCACAGGTGTTAGTGATTGTTGGTTTTGTTATACCAAGGGAAAAGTCATAGTGGCCTCCATCAGAGTGGTGTATCTGGCCAAAATATAGTCCGATACAATCAGCCATGTTGCAACTCCTCCTGGCACCAGACAAATGCCTAGATTTGTGTCCTGGGTTTCTATCCTGCTGTGGTTCTAGCTCCCACTATGAAACCATGTGCCTGCTAATGAGAAGAACTAAGAGAGGAAATGCAGCTCACATTCTCAAGGCCCAGCCCAGACATTGCACACGTCACGTCTGCTCCTAGCTCTGTGTTCGAAACATAATCACATGGTCACATGTAGCTGCAAAGAAGGCTGGAAATAGGCATCATGAGCTTGGGAGAAAGATGTTGTTCTGTTTTTCTTTTACGTTCCTGTGATAATTATCATGCCCAAAGCAGCTATGGGTAAGAAAGGGTTTATTTTAGCTTATAGTTCCGGGTCACAATCTTATCATTGAGGAAATCAAGGCAGGAACCCAAGCAGAAAGTGAAGCAGAAGCCGTGGAAGGACACTGATTGCTGGCTCACTCGCTGGCTCATGCTTAGCTACTTTACTTATATGACCCAAGTCTACCTGCCTATGGATGATGCTCCTCGGAGTGCTGGACCTTTCCCATATCATTTGTCAGCGAAGACAATCTGATCAAGGGGATTCTCTCATTCCAGGTGTCTTGGTTGTGCCAAGTTGACAGTATAAATGAATTAGAATACCAACAAGATATGATCTTCTAAAATCTTGAACCGTTAGTACCAGTGGAAGAAGGGAAGAATGGGTTTAGGGTGCTATAGCAATCTCCATCATAAGGGTTAATTTTCCACTGTTATACACCCCACTCTTGATAATTCCAACATCTCAGCTGTACCTGAGTGTGGCTGTGCTACTCCCATGAGCCTCCACACCGTGTCTTGCCTTTGTCTTGGTTACCTTTTTCATCACTAGGATGAAAGAGCTGACAGAGGTAACTTAGGGGAGGAGCGGTTGGCTTTGGCTCACAGTTTCAGATGGTACACTCCTCAGTGGTGGGTAAGGCACAGGGGAGTGAGTCTGTGACAGCAGAAGTGTGTTGTGGAACTCCTCACATGGTGGCTTCATGGGAGAGTCTTGAGAAGGAGACTAGAAGCAAGGCTGGACTGTTACCCTCAAAGGTTTACCTCCAAAAGCCTGTCTCCATGAGCAAGGCCTCACCTCTTAAAGGTTGCATAACCCAAACAGCTCTGCTAGCTGGTGTTGGAACATATGAGCCTGTTGAGGACATTTCCGATTCAAACCATACCAACTTTTGAGCAGAATTTGTCAGACCTTGTCTATGTTATTAAAAATTATTAAAACCATTAAAAACTCCTGAGGATCCCAAAAGGCTTTCTTAATGTAAATGAGTTTCTATCAATATTAATCATCTTTAAAAACTAAAACCAAGAAAAATTTAAGACATCATTTATTAATTATTTTTTAAACAACAAGATAAAATCCCTTATACATTAACACCAGAGTGATGACAACATCACACATGTAGATTCTAGAAAAATTCCACCATACACTTGTGAAAGAGAGTAAAACAGTTAAACAATATCTTAGTATTATCAAGAAAAAGTTTGTTATTATATCCCCATCTCCCATAATGAGCAAGGACAATACAATTCAATTTATTGGGCTGGAGAGATGGCTCAGTGGTTAAGGACACAGGCAAGGGTCCAGTTCCTAGCACCTACATGGCAGCTCATGACCAGCTGTTCCAGGGGACCCAACATCTTCTTCTGGCCTCTCTGGGCACCAGGCACACATGTGGTAAACAGTTGTACATTAAAATTTTAATTTTATGCAAGTAAGATTGTTTTTATGGAAAGGGTGGCGGTTGAGGCAGAGTTTTTGCTATGTAGGTCAAGTTGACCTCACACTTGCTATGATCCTCCTGCCTCAGCCTTCTGAGTGCTGGGCTTGCAAGTTTGTGCCACTAACTACAGCTCTTTAGAAAGATTTTAACATTTTCTTTTCTTTTCTAAAATTAGTGATTTGAGATTCTATTTAGCTTTTTTTCCCCCCAAAAAGAGTATTTTTGGAAAGGGGTGGGACCAAAGATAGGAAAAGTCTGGTTTAAACTTGATCATATTAAAGACCAAAAAGGGCTCTGTCTGACATTTGACTTCTCGTAACATTTTCCAGTTGTTTTAGAAATGAAAACTGATTGCTTAAGTTTCTTGTGAATCCCCAAAACACTGTTAGTTTTGAACATCTGGCTCAACTCACTTGAGAGGAAATCTTACAAGAAGAGATTGAACAAGAATGTTCTCGGGGACCTGGCACCTGAACCTGGTTGCTTTTTGTAGCAAGAGAAGATGAGAGCACACAGGGAGAGCCTGGTGGTTCAGAGTGTGGTCTAGAGATCAACATCAAGTCACCACCCAGGAACTTGTGAGAAACCCAAATTCCACACTTACTGACTCAGACTGGACTGGCCAGGCAGTTTGTTTCCTAAGGCTTCCTGGTGACTCTGAATTGGGAGATTTTGGAGGGGAATTATTTGAGGATGGCTGGCTATCCAGTCTACAGTTAATCTTTGGTATAATCACCTCCTCTGCTTCCTTATTTCTTTCCTTCCTTCCATAAACATAGAAAGGATTCCTTGCTTCTCAGTGTTTTCATGACATGTACAAGGTCCGCGTCTAAAAGCATCAACAACCCAGGCTAAATTTAGAGTGCAGTTGAAGACAGTCCCAAAGAAACCAGCTCTTAGAGTGGCCAATTAGGAAAGCATTAGACAAGTATGATTCATGTCCCAGGACCTAGCCCTCTGCTCCTGACGTTGACCCTAGCCGTGAGCTACCGAACATTGACCCTCCACAGTTTCCCACAACTTGACCCCCTTGTTTCAGGATTATTCAAAAATCTGCTCATCCAAAGCTTCTGTTCTTTAGAAATTTAAAACTGAAGCCTCAACAGGAAGGGGGCTGGCTCCCTTCTAGGGCTAAGAGAACAACATACGGAGTCCTAGTTGCCAGCCCCAGTTGAATGGCTGATCAGTAAGTGATGACGTCAGAAGAGCCAGTGAGGCAACCAGAGGTTGATGAAGGAGCCATTTGACTAGGGTGAGCTTGTGAGAGCAGAGAGGGGGCGCAGGGGAGGAGGTAGAGGAGGGAGGATGAAGGAGAACGAGGGAGGACGAGAAAGAGTATTTACATTAGTGCTAGGCTTTACGTAGACTTTCCAAACTGGGAAATTACAACGAAGTCACCCAAAGCTACTTTTTCTATATTCTATATGGCATAAAAAGTGTCCATGCCATTCTAGCTTTCATCCACAGATGTCCACGAGAACAGAACAGAACAGAAGAACACAGAGTGCTGTGGGGTCCTCTCTCCCATTCTTCAATGGCAACGTCCAGTTTAGTGGTGGGGGTTGCAGTTTCCTAATGTGTGGTTATAGCCTGTGACTTCAAAACTTTCTAGAATCCAAAGGATCAACAGGTGACACCTGTTGAGTGTGTGTTTGACTTCTTTGATTTTGCTTGAGCTTCATGATTCCCATTAGCTTCTCCTGGCCTCCGACTGCTCCGAGTTTTTTAGATGGTTCTTCTACTCTTCTTCCTAGGAGATTAACTCAGTCACAGCCACATATCATAGTACGACATGGTCCCCACCCAAACACACGTGAACCAAACAGTCTTCCACTCTAACGCTGAGATTCTAAGTTTGAATTTCACCTCAGAATCTCGCTACCTTCCAACCTGATGAAACCCAGCCTCAAGATATCCCCATCCCTCTACCTTCCACACACATGTGGTGTCAAGTGCCCTAGCCCCACCCAAAAACTAACGTTAAAAAACATAAAAAGAGAGGAAAATATTCACAAAACCAAACAGTTCAAAGGGCTGGGTGGTATCTGAATAGAACACTTGTCTGGCATGCTCAAGGCCTTGGATCCAACTCCCAAAAATTTAATCAACGTAAGCCAGCTATTGCACACTCCTAGCTCCTAGTAATTGTTCCAAAACAACCAAAATAACTCTGGCCAAGATCATAGTTTTTCAGTAGTTCAGAGGTAGGATTTCCAATTGGCCACAAGAGGGCACCATTAGGTGAATTAGGTCAGACACAGGGTCTTGTTATGTAGTCCCAGGCTGGACTCCTCAGGGCTGGGATTTCAGGTTTGTGCCACAACACCCCCAGAGGTAAGGTTTTTATGTTTGGGTTTGTTTGTTTGCTTGTTTTTTTTTTTTTAAATCAAGTTCTTTGACCAGAGGGGTCATATTATGATTATATTTCCATCTCCCTGATGGTACTGGAAGGTCTTAGGAACTCATGTAGTGTTTACACACTTCCTTACTTCCCATCATGACCGTTCTAAGCTATCACGGCTCGCAAAGAGCCTATCCTCTGGTTCTGAGTGTTTGGGTCTTCAAGCTCCCAAATGAAAGACTATTGCCAGCTAGCTGCTTGCTCATCCTGAGCAGGGAGAAGATCTAACATGTACTGAGGCCCCTAGACTGCCAGGCATATGACATCATGCTTCATTCCCATAACCCCAAGAGACCACCTTAAGGAAATGGGTAGATTGCTAAGGCTATGGATAGAACAACCACCTCTGGGGTGCTGTAGGAACTCCTTCAGCCAGTAGCCTTTAAGTTACCTGCCCAGAGTAGACCAGAGGAACAACTTGAGAATGGAAGGAACTGAATTCCCACCTATCCACCTATGGCTATGTTATTAAAGGATTTAAGAGTATCTGGGTTGGCCAGAACCTGCTCTGGCAGAAGGGGCATGCCCTTCACATTTGAGACTGGGATGATTAGTTTTAATTGTCCATTTAACACAATCCAAAATTTCTGGAAGGGAATTGCTCAATAAGGGGTAACCTAGACAAGGTTCCCTATGGACTCGTCTGCAGAGGGTGTCTCCACTATGTTAACTGATCTGGGAAGGCCCAGCCTAAACTCACCCCCTGGGTTTGGGTCCCAGACTGTATAATATAAACAAAGAGAAAGTGAGCTGGGCTTGAGTGTGTATGCATGAATCCATTGCTCTCTGCTTTTGGTTGTGGGTGTGAGATTAGAAACCGCTTCAAGTTCTGGCCACCTTAACTCCCACACAACCATGGACTACAACCAGGAACTGCGAGTCAAATAAACCCTCTGTCCTTTCAGTTGCTTTTGTCTGGGTATGTTATCACACGCACAGGAAATGAAACTAAGCAGGGACGGAATATCTCACCCAGTTGACCCTAATGAGGACAGATTGGCTTTTCTCAAGATGGTTTTACATTCTTACGTCTTTTTAAAAAAACAATTTAGATTTTTGCTATGCGATCTCATGTAGCCCAGGACAGTGCTGAACATCTGATTTTCCTGCTTCTACCTCTTGAGTGCTGGGGTTATAGGTGTGTGCCACTATGCTCGATTTCTCCTGGTGCTGAGGTCAAACCTGGGCTTTGCGAGCATGCTAGGCACTCACTCTATCAACAGAGCTACAAACATCCCTAGGCATGTTATCTGTTCGTTTATTTTGAGGTCTGTCTTACTACATAGCTGAGGTTGACATGCTATTTTCTGTTCAGCCCAGACTGCCCTCAAAATCAAACTCATGATCTTCCTGCCTCCAGACTTGAGTGCAAAGATGAAAGGAATGTGCCAGCATGCCCATCCCCCCATCCCCATGGGTGTGTGTGCATGTGCAACTGTGTATGTAAGTGCCATCACATCCAGTTTTTGTTTGTTTGCTTTTGTTTTGTGTTTCACAAAGCTTTTTCCCAAAAGATGGAACTCAAGTGCTCCTGCTTGCACGGTAAGGCCTTTGCTGAGGCGTGTATCTCCCTAGGCTATCAGCTGAGTTCAGGTTCTGGGCAGTGTTCATGCTGCCAGGGCAGAGACCAGACATTGGGGGTACTTAGTTCTTACAGCGTCAGACTCACCATCTACGCCGCCAGGTGAGCCCGCTCAGAAGAAGGATACTGATGACCAGGAAGATGCAGCCGGCCACTGTCAAAAGAGAGAAGGTTAGGTTGAGCACTACAGCTATGCTTTGGAGGGGGTGTGTGGGTGTAAAGGAACTGGATCCATAGGGTGGGTGAGAAAACTCCATAGGTGAACAAGGACCTCCTGCACAGCTGGGGCCTACGGCATCTTTTTCCTGTAGGAAAGGGGCTAGCCCTTGTCCTCTGGAGCAGACCACAGCTGAAACGTGAGGAAGGCTCAGAGGACAGGCCTCACCAGCAGCTTTCCTCCATGGGGGAATGTTGAAACAAGATAAGAAATCCTAAACATACTGATATCTCCTGGAGGTGCTTGCACTCCCCAAATGCTGACTTGTGAAGGTTCCAGATTCTGCCATTTTTTTTCCAGCGGTCCAGGAAGCATTTTCTTACCTCCTACTAGGAACAGCTGAGTTGCTTATGGGCAATTTTATTTCTCTCTCTGGGTCTTGGCTTTGTCCCTCACTAAAGTTTGGGGGGCATTGTTCTTGAAGATGTATGTGAGAGGAACTGGTTTAGGGTGCTTTAAGGTTTAACTCTTGGGATGCTCTTGGTTTGTTTTGATTGACAGAACCTAGAGTCACTTTAGAGACAAAACTCTGGGCATGTCTGTGTGAGATTATCTAGATTAGGTTAGCTGAGGTAGGGAGACCCATTCTAAAAGTGGACAGCTCCATTCCATGGGCTGGGGTGTTAGGCTCTGTGAGAAAGAAAGTGAACTGAGCAAAGCATCTCTCTCTCTCCTCTCCCACCTCATCTCCCGTTCTCTCTCTCTTTTATTTCTTGAGACAGGATCTCATTGTTTACTCCTGGATCTTCTGGAACTCGCTCTGTAGACCAGGCTGGCCTCAAACTCACAGAGATCTGCCTGCCTCTGCTTTCTGAGTGCTGGGATTAAAGGCATGCACCACTATAGGCAGCCTTTCTGTTTCTTTACTGCAGATGCAGAGTGACCAGTTGCTCAGCCTCCTCTGTTGTGCACCCCCATAGTGATGGACAGGATCCTGGAACTGTTCTTCATAACAAACCCTCCTTCCTTTGGTTTGTCTTGTCAGACATTTGGTCAAAGCAATTCTAAAGGTAGCTAATACAACTCCCAACACACGCAGCTAATCCAGAGGGTTCTGAGCAATGTGAGCATCAAAAGTCATCTTTTCTCCTTATAAACCTCAGTGAAAGGAGGGATCATTTCAATAGGTCAGATTGCCCATGTCCTGGCATGCTGCCCTATCTGTCCACAAATGAAATGACTTGACCCACCTGCCAGCTGATACTCCATTGTCAGGATGAAGGTCTCCATAGTTGTTGCTGCGTCTGTGAGTGGCTGCAAGTCTGTGGAGAAGAGAAACAAGGCTGAAACTCTCTCCCGGTACTATCCTATGTTTTCTGTTTAATTATTTTCACTTGTGTCTTCGTCCTCTTTACTAATTTTTCTGATCCCCATGCCCCTACCCTGGTAAGTGGTATTTCTGTCGAAGCTGGTCTCCAGCACTCTACACTTACAAAGTAAGCACCTTACTAACTGAGTCATCTTCCCAGCCTGCCTTGCATTGACTGTGTTGCTATGGCCATGTTCTTGCTTTGGAGGACAGGAAGACAGCAAGGCCCAGCTTCCCCTCCTCATCTTATTCATTGCTGGAAAAGCTTGCAGAGCCACTGCCTGTCCTTGCCTGATGGCCAAATGTCTGTTCTTGGACACTCTCTCCATACCTGTAGTGATGATGGGACAGGGAGTCTCACTTTCGGGAAAAGGATCTCTGCTTCCTTGAGAGTCTTCGCTGGCTGCAGAAGAGAAAACACAATGAATTTGTAACCTAAGATGGAGCTATGAGATGCTAATGTTTTCTTACACCTGCCTTCTGCTTCTGGTCCCAGAAACACCTGCTAAGGCGTGATTCAGGGACACAGATCCACATCAGCAGCACTGCATGCAGTGAAGGGCCATAGTAGAGCATACAAGGGGGACTCTAACCCTGACCGTGGCTATCTATGGAACTGTGAGCAGGTCTTTCCCTCTAGCCTTCCTACTTAGCCCTGGATTCCACCTTTGACTTGGAAATGGGTCAAATCCCATGTGCACACACTTGCGTGTGCACACACCACCACCACCACATGTATCTGAATAGAGCTTTTAGTCCCTTTGTGATCAGTGACCCAGTATGTGGGTCACTTATGTCTAATGTTATGTCAACTTGACGTAGGCTGGACTCATTGGCGCTCAAGGGCGCTTCAGTTGAGAAAATGCTGCCATAAGGCTGGATTGTAGGCAAGCCTGGAGAGCATTTTATTCAATAATGGTTTGTGGGGGAGGGCCCAGCCCATCATTAGTGATGCCATCTGGGCTGGTGGTCCTTCTGTGAGAAAGCAGACTGAGCAAGCCAGTAGGTAGCACTCGTCTGTGGACTCTGCGTCAGCTCCAGCCTCCAGGTTACTGCCCTGTTTGAGTTCCTGTCCTGACTTCCTTGGGTGATAAACAGTGATGTGGAAGTGTAAGTCAAATAAACCCTTTCTTCCCCAAGTTGCCTTTGGTCACAGTATTTTATCACAGACACCTAGGGACTTGTCATTCCATCTCTTACAAAGAAAATTATTGGCATGTGTAATGCTCTGTCTCTTTAAGAGACAAGTCACACCCACTCCCTTCCTGCTTGCAGCCTTAACCTCTCTCTCTCTCTCTCTCTCTCTCTCTCTCTCTCTCTGAAGAAGCAGCTTCTGCCTCTCCTCACTTCTCCCTTTCCCCCACTTCTCTGTCTCTCTCCCCCCATCCCCCTTTCTGCCCTTCTCCCTTCCCTTCCATAACCATTAAATAAATGTCCAACTCCACTCTGTGTGGTGTGCCTATCTGTCTGCCTCCTACCCGCTGCCTGCCCACATGGCTCGCTGGGGACCAGCCACCTTCCTGCTGAGTGATCAAGTGGTCTTGTGCTGTCCCTGCTTGGGACTGGCTGCTTTTGGGACCCCGGCAGCTTGCAGCAAATCCATTTCAGCATGCCCTGGCCAAGAGGGCAGCTCACTGGGAGCAAGTTATGGGAAAGGCATAGCATCCTGAGAGGACCGTGGGAGAAGTCACAGAGTAGAACAAATGGTAGCAGATAGAGAAACTAGGAATGTTCATGAGTCAATGTGAGTAACTTTTGATTATGAAAGTAGTAAGATTTCAAACAAATATGGCAGAAGACCTCACCACAGGCAGGTCACATGTGAGCAGGAGTGGGTAGGAAATGCAAACCCCTTCCCACATACTTGTATTTTCTATCAAAGGTCATGAAGGACCTTTACAGGGGAGTGTAATGACAGTAACAATGGAGCACTGTACAAATGACATACCTATATTAAATTCAAGAGGAAGGAAGAAGCATGCAGGTGTGACTCTGGACTTGCCCTCATGAACTATGGGATGTCTTAGTAGCTGGGCAGAAATTGTGGAAGTTCAGGATCAGATAGACACAGGATAGAATTATTACCATGAGACAGCATCCTGTGTGTATTGGAACACTGGAGAGACTACTATTTCTCTGCCTCTATGTACAGAACAGTGATGAAGGGACCTCAGTGTTGATCTGTTTTATTTTAGAAGATGAGACCCAGAGGGTCAAGTCGCTTTCCCAAAGTCCCAAAGCAGAGAGGCGTCTCACCTTGGTCCAGATGGAGAAAACAATGGGACAGACACAAGAAGGAACAACTGAAAAGGCTGGAAGGTGGGACAGCAGACCAGAAAACCCTGACAGAGGCTACACCAAAATGGGACAGAGTTGAGCAAGCAGGTCTCACGAAAACCATCACAAGCCCTTCTGCTGGCTCAACAGGATCCAAAAGCCCTTCTGCTAGCTCAGCAGATGTCCCCCAGACTTTTGCAGGCTAAAGATAGCTTTTCCTACCCTGCTGCTGGAAGGTCCCTAACCATTAGGACCTTCCACCAATCAGCCCCCATACTAATCTTTCCTCCACCAATCAACCCCAGGTTAATCCCTTCTCTCTGGAATTCTAACTCTGCATAAAAGGAGCTCGTGACCTCCTTTGGGGGGGTCTCCAAATGCCACCCCAACATTGAAATTAATAAAGCGCTCTTGTTATGGCTGTTGGTCTTCTTCGGGGGCTTCTCTAAAACCCTAATACAACGTACCTGGAAACTGATGGTGCTCTCCTTCATCTACACATGTGAGCCGGGGCTGCGTCCATTCCGTCTTTCCACAGGTCATTTTGCAGATGCTCACAGCAGGACCTCTCTGTAGGGCCTTGTATCCTTGAATGCACTCATAGTGAACTCTCTGTCCTACCACGAAATGATAGATTCTCTTGGTATCTTCGTGTTCCCATGGAGGGGGCTCCCCGCAGTGACCTGGAAGAGGACAATAATTTTGAAGGCAAGTTTAGGAAGGCATAGTGAGTGCCTCTAGGCTGCTTCTTGTACCCAGAGTGACTCTGATCCCTAGAAACTGGACCTTGGTTCTTACGGTTCTGTTTCACTCTCTCACTTGAACCTACAACTATTGAGAGCATCCGGGGCAGGGAGCAGGAATGTAGGCATTGTAGGATGGTATGGAACCCAGTGCTGTGCAGCTATTTCCTCGGAGTTGAAATTTTCTCTCTTGGAGGGAGGCTCCTTAGGACTCAGAAAAATAAACAAAACACACAGGTCTCAGAAAACTCACTGGTCTCAGGAAACTCACCAACCCCTTGCCCAAAGTTACATAAGTGGTAACAATGACTGAGGGAATTCTCAGTTGTTGGAGCTCTCTGCCCATCCTGCAGGGATCGCCAGGGATGCAACTTCCATAGGTTGTCATCCATGCTGGAAAGGGTTTTGGGTGACACAGCTGCATTTGAGCCATCCAGGCTCCCAAGAGTAAAGCCAGTAAATTCGTTGGTCCATTACATAATACTTGGATATGATTGTTTCTCCATCTGGTGAACAGATGCTTGCTCATGTCTCCCCAGGAAAAGTCCCACAGGGTCCTGTCACTGCTGTACGGGTCACAGAGTTGAGTAGGTAAGAAAGACATAGGCAGGTGGACAGAAAGTGGGTAGTGCGAGGGGCAAGTGAATGCTTGCCAGGGGCATGGGGAAGGGGATCTTTGTTTGACGGATGCTGCAAAGACCTTGAGGACTTTTGAAAAGCAGACAGGTGTAAGAGGGCACTCGATTGAGAGACAGTAAGGGAACAGACCACTCTGTGTTTCCACAGAGTAACTGAGGAGGCACTAATTTGAGCAGCAGTTGGTAATCACTCTAGGACTTTGCTGAGCTAAGGATAAGGCTAATGTCTGGAGCAGGGGAGATGCTGAGAGAATCTCAGAGAAACGAATCATGATCCTTAATTAAACCACATCTGAAGCTTGACCCACATTGGCCCTGTCAGGCCTTCTAAAGATCTCCTGTGCCCAGCAACTTACACTCACTGGACTGAACCAGGCTTGGCTGAACTTTGGCCCCTGAGGTCATGGGCCGTTTTGATTTAATCTGGAATTCCCCACTCACTGGCCCCCAATCTGATCAGATGGAACTAGATAGACTGTCGAACTCTGGATTATGAAATTACTCGCAGGTTTGGAATCTGCCAGAGTTTCAAAATAATCTCCAACAAAACCTCATATAAACCCTCTACCCCAGTAGGAAGCTGAGTGTTCCTGACTACTTTGCACTTGGCATAACAGAATTGAAACTGTGTTTTGGTCTCAGAACAAAATATTATTTTAAGGCAAGAATCATCATAATTGACAGAACCTGTATGAATTTGAACCAAATTGAGTCTGGAGTTAAATTCTTATGCTCCCAAGTCATAGTCTATATCACCTTTAGAAAGAGTAACTTGAATGATAAGCAGTGAGTCTGCCATCATTAGGCAATGTTGTCATCTGCATGTGTTCTGAGAGAAGGCAAAGGGATTGTGTTGCCTGTGGAGAATAGTACTAACCTCTCCCCTTTGGCTCATCCTTCGCAGGTAGCCAAAGGTCAGCTCCCAGGAGCCAGCTAGAGGATGCTTGTTGAGATTCATATCTTACCTGGAAGTTTCTCTTGATGCACAGACTGTGTTGATTTCTGCATTTCTGTGATTTGTTGCTCTTTCTGGTCTTCAGGTTTAGGTGTAACTTGCTTTCTTCTGTTGTCATTGGCTAGAGAATACGGGAGGAATGAGGCAAATAAGTTTGCAAATACTCCGAATAGAAAAAAGCTGTTCATGCGTTCCTTCACTCCAGGACATTTTTCTAGGACCCAGGAATAAATAGCCCGGGGCTGGGTTTGCAGAGATGAGCAAACAAGCCCTCTCTGGGATGGGGCCAGCACACCTAGTCTGTGTGTACTGATCTCTCCGTGTGCGCACTCACATTCATGAGCATATTGACAATGGATTCAGTACTTTCCTAGAAGAAATGCAAGATTCTCCTACTGGAAAAATCCTTGTGTACATGTGAATTAAACATAATTAAAATGGGTCTTTTCATGTCACCAGGGTTACCAGTGTTGTACACAGCAGTGGGAACGGTCTAACCCCACCACCCTCACTTAACTCCTTCACTCTCCTGCAGTGGGTCAAAGCTACTCTGAAGGCAATGGTAAGAAAATGCCAGTTAGGAAGAGAAGTTGCGGATGAGGAGGCATCAGAACCCCAGCTTAGGGTAAGGGGAGATCTGTTGGGAAATGAGCTAACCAGTCATTTCAGTAGGGCAGCCATCTTTAGACTCTATCCTCCTCACATGGTTTGACTCACTGAGCCTCTCCATCCTCGGGGTTAAAAAATAAAGATCAGTTAGGGGACCCACCTAGGTGTCTAACAATAGAAGAGTAATTAAAGCAAGTGTGCTGTATATGGAATTTTTCTTTAATATATGCATACATACATGTATAAACCACACACACACACTTGAGTCAGGGTCTCACTTTGTAGTCCCACTTGGCCTGGAACTCACTATATAAACCAGGATGGCTTCCAACTCACAGAGATCCACTTGTTTCTGACTGCTGAGTGCTGGGATTAAAGACATGTGCCACCCATCACCTGCATGATGGGAAATTTTCAGCCACGGAGAAGAAAACTGGACGCAGCTAGAGAAAACTGTCCAAGGAAACAGAAAGTTTCTAATGGGAGGGGAATTGAAGAGAGAGTAGGGGATATCAGGTGGGGGCAGAAGATGTTCATTCTACAGTGTGTACCTGTATGAAATATTCTTACGAAATACACTATGTGCAATGGATATATTCAACAAAAGCTTTTTATATATAAAATATTATATCTATATCTATATATATCTATATAACTTTTGCACAGTTTCACCCCCCGAGAATGAAGAAGAAACTGAGTACAGAGACAGGCTGTGTGAAGGAGCATTTTAAACTCAAGGAAGAAAGAATAGAGACCAACAACAAAGTCATAGAATCTATCAGATTGACTCAGGCTTAGCAAGCCTTGTTCTTTGAATAGACACTCATTAAATAATGATAAATAAGTGGATATCCTAGAAGCCTCTAAACTCAGTTATCCCACAGATTTGTTGACCATTATTTTATCTGTTAGTCCAAGGTCATGGAAGCTTGACTCTGTCTCCAGTAGTCCCCTTCCCATTGAGGTTACCGAAGGGACACTTACAGTTTCTTGTGCACTGGCAGTTGTTGCTCCAGGAGTTCTCTAAACAAACCATATAGACCGACTTCTTTATTCTTCGGAAACCCCTCTTGCAGTCACAGTTAAGGATGGTGCCACTCTTGTAGGCGAGTGCTTTGAATGTGGCATGCGCAACCTTTGGTGGGTCTTCCACACACATGTCTGAAAAGACAAGAAAGATGTTAGTGCAGGAGGTCCTAGTGAGACACGAGTTTGAGGGGCAGTGACTTGCTCACAAATGTCTTCTTCTGTTTAAAGGATTGGTATGTATTCCACCTTCTCAGGAAAGAAACTGAGGCCTCACACTGTGGTTCCTGTACTGACTGATTTTTATGTCAACTTGACACTGGACAACGTCATTTGAGAAGAGGGAACTCCAAGTGAGAAAATGCCTTTATAAGTTCAGGTCATAAGCAGGCCTGTAGGACATTCTCTTAATTGGTGATTGATGGAGGAAGGCCCAGCCCCATTGTGTGTGTGATGCCACCCTGGGCTGGGCTGGTGGTCCTGGGTGTTATAAGTAAGCAGACTGAGCAAGCCATGAGGAGCAAGCCAGTGAGCAGCACCCTTCCATGGCCTCTACATCAGCTCCTGTCTCCAGAGTTCTGCCCTGTTCGAGTTCCTGCCCTGAATTCCTTCAGTGATGGAAGGTTCCCCCACAAGTTGCTTTTGGTCATGGTGTTTCATCACAGCAATAGTAACCCTAACTAAGACAGTTCTTTAGAAATCTTTATATAGAGATGCTTCTGTTTGCAATGGGTGTTGGGTATTGCACGGATGTATAAATGATCTATGTGCTGAGTACAAGAGACTGTTGAATGCTTAGCTCCTAAATGTGCCATCTGGATCTCTCCCTCCAAGGTTTGGGAACATTGCAGAAAAGGGGAAGGAAACAAAGGAAGAGTGAGAGGGAGGAGTGGGGTGGTGTAGAACATTGTTTCCTGAGTATGACCTGGGTGTGCACTCTTGAACTCCCAGCAACTGTCATTCCCTGCGCATGATTGTGACTGTCAATATTTCATCATAAAGAGGGGAAGGGCTTGTGGGTTTCCACCCCTTCCTGATTTATAGTTGGTTAACAATTGCTGGGCTATCACGAGGTTCGCCACTGAAGACATATAGGCAACTGATGATTGCTGGTAGAGGGAAAGTCATTTCCCTCCGTGATGTAGTCACTGGTACGTTGCTTATGAATCAATAAATAATCCAGTACCCATTTTCCTATAAGTAACTCTAATTAAACTCTGGTTCACCACAAAGAAAGACAAGAACAAAGAAGAGAAATCAGTTGGGAAGAGGTAGGGGATCAGTGGAGCCACAGAGGCTGGTGGTTGTGTATATGAATATGATCAAAATACACTATATGCATGTGTGGAGGTAGAAAACCATTCTATATGTATTTAATATATGCTAATGAAATTAAAAGGATAAATATTGTGTCAGAGATGCTGTATCAGTGTTCACTCAAGTTGTTCCACAGTATAGAATATGCACTGCAGAAGGAATAAGCAGAAATAAGTAGAGTTCTATTCTGAAGATACTTAACGCCTAGCAAATACAGAAGAGAGGGAAGGCAAGTCAAGTCAAAACTTCTAGACAGATCTGGTGTCCTAGCATGAACACCAGAAACAGGTCATGTTTTTGAGACAAGTCCTCTCGTGTAGCCCAAACTGGCCTCAAATTCATTATGTAGCTAAGAATAACCTTGAACTCCTATCATCCTGTTTCCACTCCTGAGTGATGGGATTACAGGTGCATATCACTACAGCTAGCTTGCAACACCCAACTCTTGAGGAAAAAAAAATGATTTCTAACCAGAAAATCGCTCCATCACAACAAGTTCTTCTGCAAAGAGATTTGGTGACTAGGACTATGCCACAGACAGCACAAGGGATGGAGTAACTGTAAGGGAAGAAAATGCGAGGAAATCAGGAGACTGTCCTAGGAGGAGCCACTCCATCCAGGGGAGCACGCTGAGGCTGATCCCAGCAGGAGATTGTCGCAGGAGCGAACCACTCCATCCAGGGGAGCACCTGCTGTCTCTACTAGATGGTTGTTTATCATGATGGTTGGTTTGAGGTGTCAATTTGGATACTCTAATGGCTGCCTAGAGAATTCAAAGCATAGCTCTGGGTGAATCTGTAAGCACATTAACAGAGAAGGTTGACTGTGAGTTGACAAAGTAAAAGAGAAAAGACCGCCCTCTGCGACAGCACCCAACAGTCAGCCAGGAATGTGACAGGGACAGAAAATAGAGGCAATGAAGTGTGTTCTATCACCCTTCCTGGTTCTCTCTCTCTCTCTCTCTCTCTCTCTCTCTCTCTCTCATATTTTGAATGAGAATGGCACCATGAGTTCATATATTGGAATGCTTGGTCCTCATTGGTGGAACTGTTTGGGAAGGATGAACCCTGGGATGGACAGCATCTTGGTGACAAGCACTTTACACATGAGCCATCTTGCCAGCCCATTTCTGGACCCCAAAGACAAACATTTACTTACAGATCCAAGATGTTCCTTGCTCCAGACAGAATAAAGACAAACAGATCAGTGTTCATCCATTGTGAAGCCATCAAACACCTAGTGTCTGAAAGCAGCCGGAGGAAAAGGTCACATGTATAGGTAGACAAAGTGATGAAGGGACGACTGACTTTGCCACAGAAACAAAGAAAGCCAGAGAATAACGGAGGAACTAAGCCAGCCTTCAAACAGACAAACAGTCCATCAGCTCAGTATCCTGATTAGAAATGACACCCTTCAAAAATGAAGGTGGGGTTAGCATATTTCCAGGTAAAAGAAAGTTTACAGAATCCCACTAGCACACTTACATTGATGTTAAAGTAGAAAAAAAAAAGTTAAGGACAAAATTTCAAGCTACAGAGAAATGATACTAGATAGAAATAGAAATCTATTGGGAACAATGAAGGACATGAGTGAATAAATATGCATATGAAAATGCCATCTTTTTCACTGAAAGAAATGTTTAAAATAAACATAACATTGTAGGGTAGGTCTTTTATTTATCTTAATTATGTGTGTTGGGGCAGGAAAGGGTTCATGGGTGCAATGTCCTTAGAGACCAGAAGAGGGTGTCATGACTCTAGAGTCATGGATGACTGTGAGCTGTACAATGTGGGTGCCAGGAACTGAACCCAGATCTTCTAGGAGAGCAGAATACATTCTTATTCACGGAGCCATCTTGCTGGTGCCTACATGGTAGATCTTACCACCTATGTAAATGTGAAACATATGTCAACTGTATAAAGAAGGTTGAGGTTAATGGGCCTTTAGCTTTTTAAGTTATTCTAGTATGTCTGAAACGGTATGATATTAACTAAATAGAGCATGGAAAATTAAGAATGCATGGCGAATGCCCCAGGAAATGGGTCAAATAATAAAATACTGCAGGGAGCATGCATTAAAAAGGTAATCAGATAAATTAAACAGAATATTCCAATGTGTATTGAAAATGTATTGGAGTAGCTAAAATGAAGACTAAAGAAGAATGCAAATGGGGCAGGCAGGAAAGAGCTGGAAGGCAAATGTGAAGGTGGAGCCATTCCAGTGGCTAAACACAAATGAACAAAGTTTCTAAGGTAGAAAGCTTTCAGACCGCAACACACATCAGGACTCAGCTACATGCTGTCCATGCAGGAACATTCTTAAATGCAAAACCCACAATAAACTGAGACTAGAAGAGTAGAAAAATAGATGCAGGGATTAGCATAAGAAAGCTGGTGTGGCTGTTACTACCAGAAAGTAGTCTCTTGAGAATGCTCACAGCTGGAATGCCTCTTTCCATGGAAGTACCAAGAGTTCTACACAAGGGCATTTGTAAGTCAGCAGGCATGACAATCTCTAACCAGTCATTTGTGTATATGGACTCAATTAGACAAAACCTATCATCAACTGAATTTACACATCAAAACCATAAAATATTCATGAAAAAATTCACCCAAGCCTCCAAGAAGACCAGATTTGACAACTGTCACATTGTTGAGATATATTTCAGGAGAAGTAAATAGAGAAATAGAATTTCTCTATTTAAAAGGAAATTATAAATTGGAAGATTAATTTCTTTTTCCCTTTCGGTTTTTGGAGACAGAGTTTCTCTGTGTACTCCTTCCTGACTGTCTGTAGATCAGGCTGGCCTCAAACTTAGAGATCCGCCTGCCTCTGCCTCCCAAGTGCAGGGATTAAAGGCATGTGCCACCACCACCTGGCTTAGAAGGCTGACTTTTACAGACACTAGTGGGTCTATCTTCAACTCAATGTAATTACAATACAATCATCCAATGTACTTTTTAGTAAAATTGGTAAGTTGCTTTTCGAACTTTCTTGGAAGTGTCTAAGACAGTGCTAAAATAAAGTTTATGTTTGGAGACTCATACCTTTTGTTACCCAGATCGTCAGTAAAACTAATTATCAAGACAGAAGCTACTGGGGCTGGAGAGATGGCTCAGAGGTTAAGAACACTGGTTTAAGCTATTTAAAACAGGGCTGGAGAGATGGCTCAGCTATTAAGAGCTGGTATTCTTGCAGAGGATTCAAATTTGGTTTCCAGGACGCACACTGTGGTTCACAACTCTTTGGGATTCCATTTCTGAAGATATGATGCTGTCTTCTGAACTCTGTGATGACCAGACACGGATATGGTGCACATATATTAACGTAGGCAAAATACTCATCAACATAAAATAAGTCTAAAAAATGTTAATGAAAATATTTCAAATAAAATTTAGCATAAACCTGCACTGTGGTCTAACAATTCCACCTCAAAGTATTTGTCAAAAAGCAGTGAAGTAAAGTGTACATAGGGAGATTTTACAATGACCTCCAGCAGCCTGATTACTAGCCAATCCAAGGAGGGATATGGTTGTAAATACCTATAATCCCAGATCTCAAGAAGCTACAGCAGGAGAATTACGAGTTTGATGCCAGCTTGGGCTACTTAGAGAGACCTTATCTCTAAAACAACAAAACCAACTCAGTAACTTCTATACCTATCACTGTGAGAATAGAGTATAAATTTTTAAAAAATGCTCAAACATTCAAAGGAATGAATTAATACTACACGCAACATAGTTAAATAAAAAAATGTTGAACTAAAAAAGTTACAGATCCTCTATGATTCCGCATATACAAAATTAAAAAGAAAGAGA